CATTTGGTGTTCAGTCTCAGAACTGTTCCCAAGCAGAGGGACCAGTATTACATCACCAATCTTGTAGTTTTTCTTGGTTTAATTCTTTATGTCTGTGGCCAAGATTTTAATTTTCCCTAGCTTTTTCTCTTTCTAGCCTAAAAAACTCTCCCCCTTACAGGAGGCTTGGAGCAATAATTAAAAAAAAATCACAAGAGTTACCTCCCATTGTACATCCCTAGGCTAAGTGAATAAGAAGCTAAGCCATCTACCAAGCAACACAAGGGTTTGGAGGCTTCAGGGCTAAGACTGTAACCAGACCTCGGGGCAGGGGACACAGTGCCCAGTGACAAGCTTGGGTCATAGATTTACTGTCAGCAGACTTGGCAAGCATAGAATTGACAGACATTTCTTAGGGTGCTTTGTGCAGCAACCTTGGATGGACACCTGTGACTCTGACCTATGTGCACAGCTGTAAAGTTTTAAACTTATGATAAGAAAAAAAAACCCTCGTCTAGACTGAATTGTTGTGAGGTACAAATGAGCTGATTGTGTGCACTTGGTCTGAGTAAAAGGAACAAAGCAGGCTTTTAATGTCTACAGTCCAGGTAGGAGAAATAGATCTAGTTATGAAGCATGTCCTTGTATATAATTTCTATATACCAAAATCATAATTGCAGTAAAAAAAATGTTCCTGGTCACCCACAGATATATGTGCCCATGGGTTGAGATGCAATCATGAGGTTACATATACACCTTACATGAAAATAATGGTAATGTGGAGATATCATAGCTGTTATTGCAGTTTTCAGAGTCAGTGGCTCTTCAGGCCCTGCCTGGCAGAGTTTTTCCATCTGAGAATACTTTCTCTGGTGGGTTGACATCGGAATTATCAGTTGCTATAAGCTGTAATTGCATCATGGCCCAACATAGCTCCTGATAAATGCTCCTGACACTCCCTCAATCAAAACTGACCTCTTTTAACCTTGAAGGAATCCACAGACTTGTTTCCTGCGAAAACAAAAGAATATGGTCTTCCCCAATGCAATACATTTTCTGATTTCCATTTTAAAGTTAAGACATTCCTAAAGTATCTAAGCTAGTTTAGTCAGTCGTTCCTTTTACAATCTAGTGTCCCTCAGCAGCTTCCATTCAAGGTCAAACACAACACCAAAAAAATTCAAGGACAACACAACACCATACAGGTCCACACTCCCTGTGTTTTCCCCATCTTTACCTGGCGTATTCTCTTGTATTACTTTTCTCTCTATTTAAAGATTTTTACTTTATTATTTATAAACTATTTTTCCCATGACTGTCTATACCCATTTTCTTATGCACATTTTTAAACACACTGTAACCTGTTCAGAGGATTTTCCTGTCTGGGCCTGTCTCATGTTCTGACTGTTTGAGCCAAACTTTAAACTGCTAAGCAGCTTTGCACTGGCGACTGGCTCTGCCCCACTCAGGACCATGAAAGCCAAGCTTTATGGCCTTGAGCTGCATTCAGCCACCCCACCTCTGAGATGCTGGTACCCACACTGCAGCAGCAGATTTTACTTATCTTGCTGTTGTTTCTGGTCACTGTAGACAGAGCCTCTTAAAGAAGCCTTGTCTGTTTGGGGGGAGGGTGGTGTTTTCCCCCCAGTTTTCTCAGGCCCTATGTGGAAATTTAAGTCCCACAATGAAACCACAAATATAAAATACTTTCTTTGGCTACCAACCAGCTCCCAAATCATGACATGGAGACTTCTTTTTGTTGTTGTTTGTTTTTTGAGACAGGGTTTCTCTGTGTAACAGTCTGTCTGTCCTTGAATTAACAGAGATCAATCTACCTGACTCTGGAGTGCTGGCATTAAAGACATGTGCCACCATTTCCCAGCAAGACTTATTAGTTATGAATGTTTATTAGCTAGCACTTAAAACTTATTTTAACCTGCTTACCTTAATGTACATTTTGCTTTGGGGCTTTTTACCTTTCTTTCCTTTTGTATGTCTTACTTTTTCTGCTTCATCCATGTCTGGCTGGCTGGAGGGCAGGTTGGCTGGCTATGGGTGTCTCCCTGTCTTTCTCCCTCGTTCTCTCTCCCTTCTCTAGTAAGCCTAGATACCTCCTTCTACTCATTTTCTCTGCCTGCCAGCTCCACCTATCCCTGCCCTGCCTAGCTATTGGCCATTCAGCTTTTTAGTAGACCAATCAGGTGCGTTAGGCAGGCAAGGTAAAACAGCAACACATCTTTACATAGTTAAACAAATGCAGCACACCTTCACATACTTAAAGTGATATTCTGCAACATACATGCTCCCACTAGAATGCCCCATTAAGCTTTGATAAGTCACTCAATGGCTTTCCTAGTCCACAGGCTACATTTATCCACCAAGCAGCCTTGTTAGACTTGTCCCAGCAATGCTCTGCTCCCTGACACCAACTCCTGTCCTAGTCAGTGTTCTCTTGCTGTGAAGAGACACCATGACCAAGGCAACTTTAACTGGGGTCTTGCTCAAAGTTTCACAGGCCTAGTCCATTACCATCTTGTCCGGGAGCATGGTGGCACACGTGGCACTGGCCTACATGATGATCCACAGGCAGAGAGAGGGGTGGGGCTGGCACGGGCTTTTGAAACCTCAACTCCCAACTCCAGCAACACAGGCTCTCTAACAAGGCCACACCTTCTAATACTTTCAACGAGTTCCACTTCAAATTTACCAGCCTATGAGAGCCATTCCTATTCAAACCACCACACCCACTGAGGAGCTGGGGACGTGTCTCAGTGGTAGAGCACCCGCTTAGAATCGCCCAATGAAGGGCAGTTTTAGAGCCCCTGCCTAGCACTCACAAACCCTTAGTTTTGATTCCAAACACAGGGAGACAAAAAAGCATTCACTAATTTGTTAGATTCAAGAAATTCTCTTCTTGACAGCATCCCTATGGCTTCCTATGTATTTTGGAGGACAATGGAAAGCCCCTGTTCACTAGAAAACTGCAAAGGGCATTAGACTGATGTTCACTCTCTCACTAAGAATGCCCGGTCTAGCAGAGGTGGAGAGGAAATCCTCCCCCAGACCTAGCACAGACTGCTTTGCTAAGGAGGTGTGGTTCTCAGTGGGACTTAAATGCTGTAGGACTCTGTTTTGGGGGTGTTGTTTGTTTGTTTGTTTGTTTGTTTTGAGACAGAGTTTCCCTGCATAGCTTTGGCTGTCCTGGAACTCACTCTATAAACCAGGCTGTCCTTGAACTCACCGAGATTTCTGGGAATTAAAGGTTGCTAGAATTATAGGTGTGCAACACCATCACCTGACTTACTATGTAGGAATTTGTAGTTTTATAGTTTGTATGTGAAATGTCCCTACTAGCTCACCTGTTTGAATACATGATACACAGTTGGGGGTTCTGTTTTGCAGGTGATGGGATCTTTTGGAGGTGGGGGTCTAGCTGGAGGAAGTGAATCTTGTGGGGGCAGGTCTTGGGTTTATAGTTCCCATATTCTCAGAAACATTCATTAGGCTTAACCCAAAATGTCCCAACTCCAGTTTGTCAGCACCCTCTGGCAAGCATTTAAAATACTAGCCCTAGTGGCAGAGACTTTTGTTAAATGGGCCATGGTCGCAGCTAGAGCTAAAGCTCCCTGAGCAGAATAATAAGGTCATCTTGTTCCGTCTAGGAAGGATGCAGTGGACAACTGAGTGTCTGCGGTTGAGATGAGAAAAGAGAACGTCTGGGGAGCTCTAAGAATGAAGACGTTTGGAAATGATGGTTGAAATTATGGCATCTACCTTGTAACAATGAGGTAGGCAAGCTGGTATGCCAAGGAAATGTATATCAAATGAAAACTCTGGGAGATGAAAGAAACTGGGTCCCTAATGGTGTCACTAAATTTAATCTCTCTCTGCTTTTTGTGTAGGACAATGCCAGTTCTACTCTTTACAGTGTAAGTTTCTATCACTCAGCATTTGGGAAGCGGGTGAACTATGCTGAAAGGGGCTGCAAGCCTAGGGCTGACATGAGCAAGAGACAGCCCTGGCCTGGCTGAATGTTAGCAAGACTCCCTGGAACCAGATTGGGCCCAGGTGGGGCAGAGACTAATGACAGGGAGGTAAGGTCTCTGTTGGAGGATGAACTATGTACAGAGAAAAAACACAGTGACAGCCAGAGATGATGAGCTGTGGGGAGGGTAAGGAGGGCGGGGAAAGGGGCGGACAGGGGAACTGGGAGAGGCTGGGGTGGAAGATAGGCACTTGGAGAGCTAGCTCAGCATCTGGGTTGGTGGTGGGGCCATCTGAAAATAAGAACAGGGACTGCGAAGGACATGAAGACCTTGAACTACTGTGCAAGACCAAGGAGTGAGGGTATCTTGCGGAGAAATGGACTCAGAGGCATTGTTGAGGCCCAGGAGGCTCATGGGAACTGTAGTTCTGGGCTCAGAAATATTAGCCAGGACACTGAAGCATTTCACAGTAAATTCTTCTTAAACCGAGGGTATTCGCCATGGAACTGTAGAGGGTGATGGGAAATGGAGTCCTAAATGCAGAGCATTAGCTAGGGAACTGCAGTGTTTCATGGGAAATGTAGTTTTGAGCCCAGAAACGTTCAGAGCGCGACAGAATTTCGTGTAAAAGACTGTTAATTAGCCCAGTAACTGAAGAGGCTGGTGGAAAATATAGTTATGATACCAGAATATTGGCCAGGGACCTGCAGAGTCCTATGATAAACGTAGTTCGTAGGTCAGAGTTTTGACCAGGAATCTGCAAGGCCTCCTGGGAAATGTAGTTTTGGTTCCAGAATATTAGCAAGGGAGCCTCCTAGGAAAAAGTAGTTATGAGCCCGGGGAACTGCAACGTCCTTTGAGAGATGTAAATTGGGGCTTACCACACTGGCCAGAGACTTGCAGAGCTCCAAGAGCAATGTAGTTCTGTACCCAGGGTCTCAGCCAGGGAATGGCATGGACTCCTGGGAAATGTAGTTCAAGCTCGAGGACCAACTGTACCGGAACGCCGGTTCGCCTGCCCCCAGGCCTGCTCACCTGCCTCCCTGTACGAGCTGGGGATGCTCAGGCTGGGGGAGCTGAGCGGCTCCACCTCTGGCTGCATCCTGGAGAGGCGGGTCGGAGGAGGTCCAGGAAGATGGGGTGGGGTATTCACACTAGACCACACACCCCAGCTCTTTCCCTCCGCTACTGCTTCTTGCTCTTTGAAACCACGTGGGACAAACACGGAACTGGAAGGCTGTGACCACAAGGACACGCGCGTTCCCCTAACCTCGGGGACTCGGTGTGCGCCCCAATCCCTAAATCCTCTCATCTCTGCTTCCTTCCCTGCCTCCCCCTGTCTTCTGGCCTCTCTTTCTGCACCCCTCCTGCCCCACCCTTGTCCTCGGTTCTCCCCCCAATTTTCTGCCTGCCTACCTAACCCCATGCCCCAGTTGTCCTGTACGTTTCTCCCAGAAGTCTCACCCCTCTTCCCCATCTCACTGGTCTCTCCCTCCATCCCCCCAGCCTTCTCCATCAGCCTCCGCAACACATCCCCAGGCCCCCGGATTGCCCCCTCTTCATTCTTTGGAGTTTCTCCCCAATCCTGTCACCCTCTCTGAGCCATCCTATTTCCCCTTCTCCCAGGCCGATTCCTCAGTCTCTCTGCCATAGCTGCGTCTGCCTCCACCCCCGCCACCCTGCCCCGCCCCGCCCCTCTCTCATCCCCTCTCTGTGCCCACTTGCCCTTTGCTCATCCCCAACTAGACACCTGGAGACAAACAGAAACTGAGTTCTCTAGGGGGGAGGGGACGTTAGGTTGGGCCTGGTTACCATGGTGCTTGCTGCGAGGTGAGGGAGAGGGCTGGGGCTCATACTCCTGAACGTGGGAAAAGTGGACCTGAGGGCCAGGACTAAGGTTTTATGCTAGCAGGTGCCTTTAGGCCATCCTGTGTGAGTCTCCTCTATGTTCCCTGCAGGCTCCCTCTTTGTATCTTGTACCTCTCTCCTAATTATTATTATTATTATTACTATTACCGTCCCCGCCCCCTTTGGAGACAGTCTACCTCCACAGCTGCCCCTTGCCTTTCTGCTGCAGAAATGTGGAAACACCTTTCTGAAGTCCCTACTCTCCCTTCCCAGGTGGCCTTCCTTAGGTTGTCATTCCTGACTGCTTTCTGAGTTGGCAAATCAACCCAGATTCCAAGGCTCAGGAGTCTTATCCTCTTTCTCCAAGGGTAGTGGTGGCCAGGTGGAGGAGAAGAAGCCACCTTTCCAGGGATTCGCATGGCTGAACCCCCCTGTGCCTGAAGCCCGCAATTCCCTGTCAGGGATAAAGGAACTTAAACTGCAGTCAGTTCAGCTGGTTTTGTTTTGGGAGGGTTGGTTTTTTTGTGGGGTTTGTTTGTTCGTGTGTATGTTTTTTGTTTTTCCAGACAGGGCTCACCATGTAGCCCTGGAACTTACTATGTAGGCCAGGCTGGCCTTGAACTCACAGCCATCATCCTGCTTCTACCTCCCGAGTGCTGGGATTAAAGTCACGCCCCACTTTTGGCAATTTTAAAAGCCCATACTTTTGTCTCAATCTTCTGTGGCCATGATTTTCAATGTCCAGAGAGGGGGGGGAGGAGAGAGAGAGGAAAGAAAGAGAGGAAAGAAAGAGAGGAGAGAGAGAGGAAAGAGAGAGAGAAGAGAGAAAGAGAGAGAGAGAAGAGAGAGGAGAGAGGAGAGAGAAAGAGAGAGGAAAGGGAGAGAGAGAGGAAAGAGAGAGAGGAGAGAAAGAGAGGAAAGAGAGAGAGGAGAGAGGAAAGAGCGCACTCTGTTACTCCACTGGCCCTTCCCTTCCTCTCATTGAGCTGCCTTCTTCAATTCCTTCTCTGTGGCGAGGAGCATCACTGGCTGCCAATGCCCTCATGTTAGAGGCAATGAACGAGTGAGTGTACCTCCATGCCTAACAACGGAGCCCGGCCCAGTGACTTAGTGGAGGGAGAAAATACAGTGTCAGACCAGAAAGGGCAGCCTGCAATGCTGTGCAACCGGAGTAGCCAACTAGTTACTTACTTTCCCGTTGCTGTGGGAAAATGTCATGGCCAAGGCAACTTAGAAAAGAAAAGATTTCCTTGGTCTTACAGTGCCAGGGGGATAAGAGTCGATGGTGGCAGCAGGCAGCAGACTCAGCTGCAGGAGCAGCAAGCTGAAAGCTCACATCTTAACCGCAAGCAGGAAGCAGAGAGCAAACTGGGAATGGCCCAAGTATTTGAGCTCTCAAAGCCGGCTCCAGCAAGGCTGCATCTAAACTGCCCAAACACAAGGCATGCCTGGGGACCGGGTATTACATGCCCAAGACCTTGGGGGAATACCTCATGCACACCCGATATTCTCTGGGATCACTTTCTCCATCTCTCGCTAGGGACAGTGACTCAGTGAAAGTCCTCTGGACAGTTTTAACTGTCAAGTCCAAGTCCATACAGCCTAGAGTCTGAGAGAAGCCTCATTTGAGGAATTTTCCTAGCTCAGCTTCACCTGTGGGCATGCATGTCCGTTGGGGCTTTCTGGATTGCTAATGGCTGTTGCAGGACCCAGGTACCATTCCCTAGGCAGACGGGCCTGGAGTTTTATAAGATAGCCAGCAGAGGAATGGGTGGCAAGCAGGCTAGAAAGCAATTTTCCTCCATGGTTCCTGCCTTGACTTCCCTCAGTGATAAACTGCGCCCTGGAAGTGTGAGCCAAATAAACCCTTTCCCCCTAAGTTGCTTTTGGTCAGACCATTTCATCAGAGCAACAGAAAAGTAGCTACAACAACTATCACTCATCCAAATCCTGTTCCTCACTCCTTTCTCTCAGGAACCTAACCTAAGTTATTAAAAATAAGTAAGTAAAACCACAAATACACAAACATATACTCACTTGTTCTTCAGCAATTTCACAGATGCATATAATGTATTCCGATAGGACTCAGCCCGCAGCCTGATGTCTCTTCTTCCTTTGGAACCTCTCCAGCATTGTTACTCTCTGTTTCCCATCCACCTCCCTTATTTCCCTCCCAATCCTTCTGGAAGACTTCCTCCCAATCCTTACACGACCCCCACACACTTTCGTGTCTTTTTTTTTTTTAAATAACCCACTGAGTTTAATTAGAACTGCCTGTATGAGCACAACTTGCCAGTAGCCACACTGCTTAAGGAAAATGGCTTCCCTTCCACCGATGACCATTGGCCAACAACCCCTTGGGAGGTCTCTCCCACATTCACTGGCCAACCTTCACACCCAACCTTCTGCATTGTCCGATGCTCTGTGTCCCCACCGCTCCCCCTAAGGCACCTCTCCCTGTATCCCCCCATCCCCCACCCCCACACCCCCCCACACCCTCCCACCCCCCACCCCCCGTTTGTCCCTGTTGCTGTGTGTCTCCCTTTTTTCTGTCTCTGTTCCCTGGCCGGTCCCTCTGCCAAGCTGCCAGCAACTTCTCTCAGCTGCTCCCGCCACCTCTGTCAGGCCGTCAGCAGCCCTTGGCCACCAGCCCAGGACCCACACTCCTTGCGTCAGCATTTTCCTCCAGTCCCACAAATGACATCCATTCTCTGCAGCTCCCTTCCTACTTGCCTCTGCACAGACCCTGCCACTTGGCTGACCTCTCGTTTGGGGTTAGCTCTTGCTACTGAGCACTGGGAAGGAACCAGTGTTCATGCAGACATGGGCATGAACAGAGGGGTGAGTCACTGTGTGGCCTTACTTTGAACCGCAGGGCCTAGCCTGGCCCACCTCAAGCACTGGTTTTTCAGGCAGCGTGGGTGGCACCATGAGGGATTCCCAGCAGGAATGGGTGGGTAGAGGGTATGCCTTGGGGGATTGTGGGAAGGAAAGCAAGGGGATTTATGCCAACTTGTCCATTTGTTCATGAAAAGTTTTTTTTAAACCCCAATATTAAGCCTCTCCACCGACACAGCCAGTCAAACCAAGCCGAATTAATTAAAAGTCCAGGTTTAATGTGAGCAAAGCATTCCCAGGTGTTCCCAGGGGAAGAAGAGGCTTTAAATGCCCTCCAGGGGTGGAACCACTGATGGTGGGCTTTCTCAGGGGTGGGGCCTGGAATGGCAGGAGCAGGGCTGGGTGGAACGTCCCAACAGTTCACCCACTACCCTATCATTTATTCATACACTACCCATCCATAAACACCATCACCCATCTACCAGTCCTCTGTCCAAATCATCTGTCCATCCTTTAGCCAGCCATCAAATGTCATTTATCTCTCCATTCCTCCATCTGTATTAGTTGGCTTTCTATTACTGTGATAAAACACCATGATCAAAAGCAACTTATAGAAAATTTTATTTGTGCTTTTGGATCTAGAGGGGGGAGTCTGTAATGGCTGAGGAGACATGAGGAAGTCAGCCAGAGCAGGAAACTGAGAGATCACATCTTCAGCCACAAAAAGGAAGCAGACGGGGAACGGGAAGTGAAGCCCACCTCTGGAAGATTCTGCGACCTCCCTGAGCAGCGCCACCAGCCAGGCCCAAGGGTTCAGACACATGACCCTGTGGGGGACAGTTCTCACTCCAGCCAGCACACCATTCACCGGTCCATTCCTTCTTTTTCACCTTCCTGGCAGTTCCTTCGTTTAGTCATTAGCTCTGTTCCTTCGTTCAGTCATTAGCTCTCTCTGTTCCTTCGTTCCGTCATTAGTTCTGTGCTGTGTCAGGCACTGTTCAAGGCAGTGAGGACCAGGCAGTGAAAGAGTAGACTGATGGCCATCCTCCCTGACTGGGCCAGCCCCTCCTTCCCAGGCCTTACTCACACTCTCCCTCCCCCAAGCATCCCCTCTGTCTTAGTTACTGTTCTGTTTTATTGTGAAACACGATGACCAAGGCAACTTAGAAAAGAAAGCCTTTAATCGGGGCCTTGCTCACAGTTTCCGAGGGTTAGTTCATTTCCATCATGGCGGGCGGGGAGCATGGTAGCAGTCCAGTGGGCACGGGCCTGGAGGAGCGGCTGAGCGCTTACATCTTATCCACAAGTTGCAGGCAGAGAGAGAAAGATAGTGAGCCTGCTGTGGGCTTCTGAAAGCGTAAAGCCCACCCTCCATGACTACTGCATCCAACAAGACCACACCTAACCATTCTCAAGCAATCCCACTAACTGAGACCAAGTATTCAAACATAAAAGCCTGTAGGGACCATTCTCGTTCAACCGCCACACCCTCTACCCTACATCTTTCCCTACCTTAGACCAGTGTCCGCTGCCCGGAGACCAGTGTCCAGAAGCCTTCCTTCCCTGACTTCTTTCTCAGCGCTTGGTGCCCTAG